TGATGTTTTTACATATTCTGCAGGGGCGTATGCACAGTTTTTTCCAATAAAACTGCTTTCTGGACCGGGAATGTCTTTAAATAACAAATAGCACTTTATAAAAAAGGTTTGTGATTCATCCCGCCCATCCTAGAAAAGTCCAAATGTCAGTAGACCAACATAGAAAACTGCATTTATTAAGCTGTTTTATGGGGTCTTCATCATAATTTCTATTAACTTTTTTCTTCCACTCCAGCTAAACAAAGCTGAGACAATGAGTCTGTCGAGTAGAGATGTTATATAAAGTGACAGTTGTGCTATACTTGTCTGAGAAACTCACTAGTCTTGACAGAGTGACATTGACGGATCGTCCTTGGTCTTATCTAATGAAACATTTTAGTTTTTTGCTAGTGATGAAGTGTTATAGTTTCCTCAAGGCCTTAGATATGAGACACGTCCGTTCTCCCATAACCATCACAACACAGTGAGTTATTAAAACACATAAAACACATATACTTGAAATAAACAAACTGAAAAAGTATAAAACTAGTTATATTTCAGCTAGTTGCCAAGGCAACATTTCTCATTTTCGTTTAGTCTAATTTGAAGTACAATATTACTAAAACTGACATAAAATGATGCGATTTTTACCAGGGAAAAAATTTTAAGGACTTATTTTGTAAGATGAACACGGAAAAACTTATACAATTTTATTGCAAATACATTTAAAATTGAATTTTTTTAAAATGTTTGTTTTTTATTGTATTGTATTAATGTAATGTTTAATCTGCAAAGTAAAATGGCAATACATTTTAACACAACCAACTAAAACCTGACATAAAACTTTATAAAAAACTATATAGACATATTAAAACAAAATCAATCAATCAATCAATCAATAAATGAGAAATATCAAACACAACCAAATTACTAAAAATTTAACTAACGTTAATACAATAAAAATAAAAACAAAATAGAAAGAAAAAAATACAATAGTATACTAAAATAACATTGCCACACACACTTGTGCACTAAGTAATCAAAAACTCTACATATATATATATATATATATATATATATATATATATACAGACATTCCTTGTACTGTTCAAAATTTGGGGGTCAGTAAATATATATATATATATATTTACTGACCCCCAGATTTTGAACAGTACAAGGAATGTCTTTCAAATAAAATATATTCTGCCATGCATGTGCAAGGAATTACACAACAAAGTTGTGTACAGCCAAGTTTGCTGTATAGCTTTGGTATGTGTTTGCAATGTCTGACTGCCCCTGAAAAGCACAGAAATAAAACCCTAGCAACCTAATGTAGCTTAAGTAATGATTGGCTGGTTCAATTACATCTTCCACATCAGTGAAGGCTTGTATTGGTTCAATCTGACAGACTGGGTTCTTGAGTTTAGACAACACCTAAGCAACCATATTGCAACACCCTGGCAACCTTCCACAAAACCTGCAGGCAAGTTTTGTCCACTGAGCAGCACTCACATTTCCGTTTGAAGTCAGTGCATTATTAACGTTAGAGAATCACTGTAAAAAAGACTTTCCAAAGTTTTAAATAAAACAAAGATTATTGGAGTAATTTTTTCAATGTGTTACTTGCTGTTTCTTTGTAATTATTTGTGAAGTTTACTAGCAATTTCTGTGTGAAAATTGTTTCAACACCTAATTTTTTCAGTGTATCTCTCTCAGAAATAAAACTTGCATTCATAAATCTTGACGGTGTGAGATTAAACAATCAAGATATTCCTTTGTCTTCCCCTGCCAATCATTTCATCGTCTTGTGAAGGTAATGTAGAGTGTCAGTTGCTTGACCTTTTTTGTCATTTTCCTGAAGGACATCCTGGGAACAGACAATAGACGAGAACAAAGCAAAGCAGCGGTTCCCAAGCTTTCTGCGCCATTGTTCCTCTCACAATAGTACCATACAGCCCACAGGGCCACAACACCTGCAGTTCACTGTAAATCCCTTCAAAAAACACTGTGCCCACTCTAAAGGCCACTGCAGTCAACCCTGGCACACACACAAAAAAAGCACAAGATGATCTTTCAGATGTTAGGTACAAAAGAACATCAACAGCAGCCACTCCACAAAGCATTTAGACATTATCTGTTATATTTTATCATTTCCTGACTCACGCCACTCAGATGTGTTGGTATAGCCGTCACACAGATATTTTCTCAGGGTCGCGGGACTGAAATAATCACAGATTCTGTGATTATCATCGCGTCATCACGCGTCTCAACCAATGAGAGCATTTGGGGTGGGCCTAAGACTGCAGCTGCGCTCACATGAAGCGCTCACAATTTAATAAGTGGGAAATAGGAAGTTTCCAATAGCACGTGAAGACAGCAGAGAATAAGCGCTCTCGCACAGCTCAAAAATATAGCTGGTTTTCCAAGTAAAAACCGCCAAATAACGTTTACACGTAGTTACGTTATGATACATAATCAGAGGGTGGGGAGGTGGGGGGGATTCCCCCGCTCTATACGTCTCTGTATCAGCTAAATTATTTTTTTTATTCCCAGTATA